CGTCGAGACGACGACGACGACGGCGGCGGCGACGGCGGCGGCGCCAGAGATGTCGGCGCAGCGGCGGCGACAGCGGCGACTACGACGCCGGCGGCGGCGACGGAGACGGCAACGGCGACGGTACCTGCGGCGGCGGCCGCGGCTGCGGGCGCAGCAGCGGGCGCGCGCTCCTGCAGATGGACCGCTCCTGCGCCATGAAGCGCCGCTGCGTCACGGCGGCGAGGAACTCGCTGTACCTCCGCGCGCGCAGCGCCCCGTCGTCGACACCGCGGCGGTCCTCGCCGTCGTCTTCGTTGTCGCCGTCGGGTCGGGGCACCTGGAACGCTTTTGGAAGCGTCTCTTGGCACTGTGCTAAGGCGGGAGGGCGGCTCAAGACAATCACGGGGGAGGGCGAGTATTCCACAGAAGACCATGTCTACCGCAGGGAAGCTGGCAGGACGAAACTGATTCGACGCGGAGGTCCCGATGAGTTGATTTCATGTCCTGGCACTTCCAGCGGTGCAGATGTGAGTGGGAGTCTTAGCCCAAGGTGACTTGACGTTCCCTGGCGGCTTCCCCTTGAAGTGCCAAAATGAAATCCCTGCTATACCAGGATGGCACGGTGACCCCAAAAAGGACAAGGAATCGGGGGGATCAAAACCACCGTTCTGCTTGACACGTCCCCACAATCTGGGCGCGAACGGGCAAGTGTATCAACCCTTGGCGGGCCCCCCTTGGAGCGCCCAAGTGTTATGATTGCCTCATCGCGGTGATCAGCAGGGTCGGGGGTACCCAAGTGAACGTTTCCCAGCAGGCATTTTCACAATCTGACAGCGAACGGGCAAGTGTCCCCCCGCACCCTGGCGACTGCTGCATGAGTACCCAAATGTCACGCCTGCTTTGTCGCATCGATCGTGCTGCTATCAAAAGAGAAGAGTCGGCGACGCCAAACGAGCGAACCGTTCAAGATATCCCCACACTCTGGCCGCGAACAGACAAGTGTCCCTCCTGGCGGTCCCTCCTTAGGATGCCCCAGTGCAATGCCTGCTAGATCGCGGAGATCATGGAGCTATCAAAAGAGACGAGTCGGCGACGGCAAACGAGCGGATCGCTCGAGACATACACACACTCTGGACACGGACGGGACATGAAATTCTCCATGGCGGCTCGATTTCTATCAATGCTGTGTAGAAACAATGGATGTTCCTGTACGTACTGTAACAAATACCAGCGAAGATGTAGTAATGCAGGACGCATCATACTGCGATCTGACACTACTGCAGGAAGTATGTCATCCACTCGGCCAGTGTCTTTCATAGAGCGCGTCGGATAGATGAGGAAACTGGTATGGTAACGATGATGACGGTGACAGAGGTGTTGGCAATGTCTTTGGTTAGGTTCGGCAAAAACGACTACAGGCGGTCCACGGGCATATCGGGCGAAGAAACTCAAACTCGAAAAAAAACAAGAACTATGCCAATACCTGCGGAACTTTCAACTCCTAAAAAAGCCAATAAATCTCTAAACCAAAACCTGCGGAAATCACAAACTCAAAAAAAACAAGAACAACAAAACAAATTGTTAAGACAAAACCTGCGAAACTCTCAGACTGTAAAACAAGTTCAAAAACTCTAAGCCGAAACATGGGGTAATACCAAGCCTAAAAAAACCTAAAATCTGAACTCAAAAAACTATATTAGAAAAACTCGTGGGAAACCTCATAGCCAACTCTTCGTTTAGGACAACAACAAAAAACACGAAACGTTTAACCACCCTAAACAAACTAACAGTACAAACGCTCTATATATGTGTGTAAACATATATATATATATATATATATATGTGCGTATATGAAAACACTCGGAAACAGAACGTCTAGAACAAACTCCAGACACATGTCTGACCACCTGGCGAACTCAAAACAACTCTGGGAACACCTGGGAAAAACTCTGAATGCAAACTCTGGTTTAAAGGTTGAGATGTTCGCAGGTTTTGGCATTGACGTGTTTTGAAGTGTTCTTCGAGTTTGAGATGTAGGTTTTGGCTCAGAGAGTTTTTGCAAGTTGGTTTAGAGTCTGAGATTGTCGCAGGTTTTGGCTTAGAGAGATTTTGAAGTTGTTTTAGAGATTGAGGTTTCCGCAGGCGTTGGTTTAGAGATGGTTTGAAGCTGTTGGGGAGCTTGAGTTTCCTGCTGAAGATTGTTCCGAAGATTTCGGCTGGTTTTCTCGTGGACCTCCTGTAGTATAATTGCCGAACCTAAGCCTCTGGTCATGCTGGTCACGAGGGTGACGATGTTAGCGATGGTGATGATGATGGCGATGATGGTGATGATGATGATGATGATGATGCTGATGATGATGATGCTGACGAAGATGACGAAGGTGGAGATGAAGATGGTTATGATAGTCTGATAGCCGCCTTCGTGATGGTGGCGGTGATGTCGATATGGTGGTTATGGCGGGTACCTTGTGGCTGAGGAGAGTGATAATGATGATGATGATGATGATGATGATGATGATGATGGCGGTGATGGTTATCGCTTGTGGTGAAGGTGGCGATGATGATTACAGACGTGTTTAGCTACATCTTAAGACAAGCATCGACACCAAATGCACCTAGCGACAAACAACGACACCCACAACATCTTACGACACGAAGTGAAACATGTTCGCCTTCAACACCTTCCGTGGATGGTCGTGGAAGGTGAAGGGCTCGGGCTTACATGTTGCCGAACAACCGCATCCTGATGTCATCACGGCGCCAGTCACAAGCCACCCGGCATCATGCTGTGTTGCCAGCACGGACACCCGTAGGCCTCGACACCGACAAACTGTTCGACCCAGGACCTATTGATTGGCCAGGGACCCTATAAGGGCGCTCCGAGGCCGAGAACGACGCAAAACTCCTTCCGTGGTAATTTTGCCCGCGATACGCGGAAGTCTGGTTCTCGGGTCAAAACTCGGGTCTCTGGCGACCGTTCGACATGAACTGGATACCCCAGGAACGCTCTCGGCGAGGCACAGCGGATGGAAAGCATCCCGAGGCTGGAAGAGCCTCTGGGAACCTATCGGATACGGCCGAAAGCCTCGAACCTCGACTCGAAGGGTGTGAGTCGCGGCGGCGGCCGCGCCTGAGATTGCGGTTCCCGGCAAGGTCGCAGCGCTGGAAAAGCTTTGCCGCCTCCCGCGCGGCGGACGGGCCACGGGGGTGCCGCCGGCCACACCACAACGAACTCTACCCCTACCCCCCACGATTTCTGAGGGGGTGGGGTTCACTTCGCCCGGGAGCTCCCGAACGAAGTAAACCCCACCCTCCTCCTCAGAAATCGTGGGGGGTAGGAGAAGGGTTCGCATGTGGACGTCCTGGGAAGGAGGGTCGAGGGGATTGATGATCGAGGTTCAAGGTGCTTGGCGATCTTTTTGGGCGTGCTTCGTTGCCCCCGTCGCCACGGCTGGATCCGCCTCGACAGTCTGGCCAGAGCGCAGCCCAGGGCAAGTCTCGTGGCCGAGCTTCGGCCCCCGGGCCCAGAATTGCGAAACTCATGGGAATCACAACGGGTCTACCAGGCTCTGGCCTCCAATGGTGACGCGTGCCCCGGGGCATTTGAGTAGGCACGGCCCAGTGACCCAGGAACAGTCCCGAGAGGCCTCCTCCTCCTCCTCCGCCTCCTCCTCGCCTCCTCCTCCGCCCCCTCCTCCTCCTCCTCCGCCTCCTCCTCCTCGCTCTGAAGGAATTCTGGGGATGCTCCAATACGTTCTAGGGGCGACTACCTCGGGGGCCCACGCCCGGGGGGGGGGGGGGGCAGGTGGGGCGAAGGCCGCAGAATGCTCAAACGCTCACCCGCCGTGCGGAAGAAGGGGATCGACACATAGACCACCCACCCCCTGACACGGAAGGAACAGGGAAAGGCGCTCGACCTGAAGCAGTTGTATGTTTCATCATCATCCTCATGGGCACATGCTGGCAGCGCGTGCGCTGGGGGCCCAGGCGTAGGGGGGGGGGAAGGGGGGCGACGGGCGAAAACCGATGGAAAACCCAGGAGAGCTCTCATTTCCCATGCGACTGGGCACCCACCGAACCCCCGAGAGAGGAATCGTGGCATCATGGAATCCCGAATGTGAATAGTTGCTCTCTCGAGACAAACCGGTCACCCCTAGCTCCCCAAATAGGCAAGGGGATAGACAGACGCCGTGTCGCCCCGTGACTCGCCGCCCAGACGAGATGGCATGGTCCGTGCGGGGGACGGTCGGTCCGCCTCGTCACCGCGAAGGCACTTCCCAACCATCACCCCAACCAGATCGACTGGCATGTGCAACCGGGTTGGTACCCCAAGAGGAGCGGGCACGAAAGTCCCCTGGGACTCACGGGCCACATGGACCCGCCTCTCAAGCGATTGCACAATCCCCGCTCCTGAAAACCAGCGAAGAACATGGCACCACTGTCACGGGCGCAGCTGAACGCGTCGGCTCTGGGCAAGATGCCACGGAACAAATTCTGTAGCGAAAGAAACTGGCATGATTGCCCCCAGCGGGAACGCGCAACTGACTGAGACAGTGTTCCGTGGGGGGTGTGCGGCGCTCACACCATGGATGCCAGGTACCGACCCTCGGGGCACCCCCCATGAGAGGCGAAATAAGAAGGAGAGGAGGAAGACCAGTGCAAACCGCAGACGCAACAACGATGTTGCAATAAACAAGGCATTGAATCATTTGCGTTTCGCCGCGGCACCCGCCGCGCAACAACGACAACGACGACGAGATGAAAACAGGAATGGTGAGCAACGCCTTCGGCGCAAACTGCTGAAATGCCGAGTCCGACACCTCCTCCCCCTCCAGCTCCCACCCTCCTCCCCCCCCCTCCTCCTCCTCCTCCACCTCCTCCTCCTCCTCCTCCTCCTCCTCCTCCTCCTCCTCCTCCTCCGCCTCCTCCTCCTCCTCCTCCTCCCGCCCCTCCTCCCCTCACTTCCGTTCCGTTCTCCGCCGAGGGCCTCCACCCCCCCGCGACGGCGGCGCGTGCCCTTCTTTTGCCCCCGCCCCCCTGCCCTCAAGGACAGTCGCCCGCGCGAGCGCCCGCGCGCGCACCAGCCCGCCCCTGACAGAGGGGCAAAAGATCGGCGCTGGCGCGCGCGGGCGCCAGGTGAACCCTGGCGCGGGGGGAAGACTTGCGCGACCCCTGGGTCGGCGTCGGCGCCGCCGGGAGGCGTGGCGGTGGAGGAAAGGGAGGGGGAGAGAAAGAGAGAGAGAGAGAGAGGGAGGGAGGGAGGGAGGGAGATGGGAGGGAGGGAGGCGGGAGGGAGGGACAGAGCATGGAGCATAGATTGGCCTTCCTCAAAAGAGGCAGGTCCGAAGAGAGAGAGGAGGAGGAGGAGGAGGAGGAGGAGAGAGGAGGAGGAGGGGAGGAGGAGGACAAGGGACCGGAGGGAGAAAAGAGGCGGGAGGGAGGAGAGAGTGAAGAAGCGGGAGGGAGAAAGGGAGGGAGGGGGGGAGACGAGAGGGAGGAGAAACGGGAAAAAGAGGCAGGAGGAAAAAGGAAGAGGCAGGCGGGGAGAAGGGGGGCGCTGGCCCCCCCGCCGCACGCGGTGCAGAGCGGGCTCGCCACCTCCTAATCCTCCCCCTCCTAGTCCTCCTCTGACTCCTCCTCCTCCTCCCCTCCTCTCCTCCTCCTCCTTCTCCTCCTCCTCCTCCTCATATACTCCCCCCCCACCCTCCTCCCCCTCCCTCTCCTCCCCCTCCTCTCCCTCCTTTGCTCCTCCTCCTTCTCTCCTCCTCCTCCCCCTCCCGCCGCTCATCCTCTCCCGCCCTCTCCTGCAACAGCACCTCCTCCTACTCGTCGGTCCTCCTCCCCTCCTCCTCCTCCTCTCCTCCTCCTGCTCTCCTGAGCTCCTCCTCCTCCTCCTCCCGCCTCACCTCCTGCTCCTCCCCCCCCCTCCTCCTCCCCTCCTCCTCCTCATCCTCCTCCTCCTCCTCCTCCTCCTCCTTCTCCAACACCTCCTCCGCTCCTCCCATCCTCCTCCTCCTCGACTCCGACTCCGACTCCGAATCCTCCGACTCCTCATCTCATCATCTCCGCCTCCTACTCTTCCTCCTCCTCCTCTTCCTCCGACTCCTCTCCTCCTCCTTACCCTTCTCTCCTCCTCATCATCCTCCTCCGCGTCTCCTCCTCCTTCTCCTCCTCCTCCTCCTCCGCCTACTCTCCTCTCCGCTCCCCTCCTTCCCCCCTCCTCATCTCCCTCATCCTCCTCCTCATCCGCCTCCTCCTCCTATCCTCCTCCTCACCCACCCTCATCGTCCTCCTCGTCCTACTCCTCCTCGCTCCCTCCTCGGCCTAATTATCCTCCTCCCCTCTCCGGATCTCCTCCTCCCACCGTTCCACCTGCTCCCCACCCCATCCCTCTCTGTCGTCCGCGCCGTTTGGGCTCCTCCTTCTACTCCTCCCCCTCTCCTCCTCTTCATCCTCCTCCTCATGATCATCCTCCTCCTTAACATCTCCTCCTCCTCCTCTCATCATCGTCTCCATTCATCCTCTTCCGTTATTCCTCCTCCTCCCCTCCTCCTCATCATCATATCATCCCATCCTCCTCCCTGCTCCTCTCCCATCCTCGTCCTCATCCCTCTTCCGTCCTCTCCCTCAATCATCCTCCTCCGCCTGCTCCTCCTCCTCCTCCTCCTCCTCCTCCTCCTCCTCCTCCTCCTCGTCCTCCTCCTCCTCCTCATCCCCCCTCCTCTTCCTCTTCCTCCTCAATCCCCCCCCCCTCCGTTTCGCATCCTCCGCCCTTTTCCCCACCGCCGTCCGCGCCTCCTCCTCCAACTCAAATCCTCGGTATCCTCTCCCTCCTCCTCATCATCCTCCGCCTCCTCCTCCTCATCGGTCTCCTCCTCCTCCTCGTCCCCCTCTCCTCTCCTCCTCCTCCTCCTCTAGCCTCCTCCTCCTCTTCCTCTCCTCTCCTCCTCCTTTCCGTCTCCTCTCCTCGCCTCCTCCTCCTCCTCCTCTCCTCCTCCTCAATCATCACATCATCATCATCATAATCATCATCATCATCATTCATCGATCATCATCATCATCATCATCATCATCATCATCGTCTCATCATCATCTCATCATCATCATCATCAATCATGCATCATCATCATCATCATCATCATCAATCATCATCATCATCATCATCGTCATTCGTCATCGTCATCATCATCATTCATCACAGCAGCACCAGCATCAGCATCAGCCTCACATCATCATCATCACCACACCACCACCACACCACACCACCATCATCATCATTCATCATCATCATACTCCGCCCTCCTCCTCATCCTCATCCTCTCCCTTCGTCTCCTCCTCCTCCTCCTCCTCCTCCTCCTCCTCCTCATCCTCTGAGTCCTCCTCCTCCTCCGCCTCGTCGTATTCGTTTTCATCCTCATCATCCTCCTCCTCGCCCTTCTCCTCCGCCGTCTCCACATCCTCCTCCTTCGTCTCCATTTCCTCAAACTCCTCCAACGCCTCATCAGGCTCATCCTCATCATCCTCCTCGGCATCCTCCTCCCCCTCCTACTCCTCCTCCTCCTCCTCCTCCTCCTCCTCCTGCCTCCTCTCCCTCCTCCTCCTTTTTCTAATATTCCTCCGCCTCCTCCTCCTCATCATCCTCCTTCGACTCCTCCTCCTCCCTGCTCCTCCTCCTGCTCCTCCTCCTCCTCCTCCTCCTCCTCCTCCTCCTCCTCCTCCTCCTCCGCCTCCTCCTCCTCCTCCTCCTCGTCCTCCTCCTCCTCCGTCGTCGTCGTCGTCGTCGGCGTCGGCGTCGTCGTGGTCGTGGTGCGTGTTGCTCTGCTCGGGATTCTGTTTCCCTGATGCAGTGACCACCCACTTGGCTTGCCAGGCATTGTGCGCCGCCTGGCTGTCCGTCCGTCCTTCTGTTTGTCTGTCTCCCCGGCTCTCTGAGCCGCGGCGCTTTGAGCTTCTTAGCTCGGGGACGCGTCGGCCACCGCCGCCCTCTCCCTTGTCGGTGGCCCTGACGAGGTTGGGGGAGAGGGTGCCGAAACGCGCCCAGTCCAGCAAGGCATGAGGGTGCAAACCCGACTTGTCTGGCTGATGCTCTGGGGGGGTCTGTGCTCAGGGGAGGCTGCAGCACCGCTCAACGATGTGCTGTTTAACCGAACCTGCAGGGCGGGCCCTTTTCCTAAATCCGTGCTTCGGTGCGGATCGTAAGCGCGCCTCGTCTCCGTCGTCGTCGTCGTCGGCGTCGTGGTCGTGGTGCGTGTTGCTCTGCTCGGGATTCTGTTTCCCTTATGCAGTGACCACCCACTTGGCTTGCCAGGCATTGCACGCCGCCTGGCTGTCCGTCCGTCCGTCTGTCTGTCTGTTTTCCCGGCTCTCTGAGCCACGGCGCTCTGAGCTTCTTAACTCGGGGACGCGTCGGCCACCGCCGCCTTCTCCCTTGTCGGTGGCCCTGACGAGGTTTGTGGGAGAGGGTGCCGAAACGCGCCCAGAGTCCAGCAAGGCATGAGGGTGCAAACCCGACTTGTCTGGCTGATGCTCTGGGGGGCCTGTGCTCAGGGAGGCTGCAGCACCGCTCAACGATGTGCTGTTTTAACCGAACCTGCAGGGCGGACCCTTTCCCAAATCCGTGCTTCGGTGCGGATCGTAAACGCACCTCGTCTCCGTCGTCGTCGTCGTCGGCGTCGTCGTGGTCGTGGTGTGTGTTGCTCTGCTCGGGATTCTGTTTCCCTGATGTAGTGACCACCCACTTGGCTTGCCAGGCATTGTGCGCCGCCTGGCTGTCCGTCCGTCCGTCTGTCTATCTGTCGCCCCGGCTCTCTGAGCCGCGGCTCTTTGAGCTTCTTAGCTCGGGGACGCGTCGGCCACCGCTGCCCTCTCCCTTGTCGGTGGCCCTGACGAGGTTGGGGGAGAGGGTGCCGAAACGCGCCCAGAGTCCAGCAAGGCATGAGGGTGCAAACCCGACTTGTTTGGCTGATGCTCTGGGGGGGCCTGTGCTCAGGGGAGGCTGCAGCACCGCTCAACGATGTGCTGTTTAACCGAACCTGCAGGGTGGGCCCTTTCCCAAATCCGTGCTTCGGTGCGGATCGTAAGCGCGCCTCGTCTCCGTCGTCGTCGTCGTCGGCGTCGTCGTGGTCGTGGTGCGTGTTGCTCTGCTCGGGATTCTGTTTCCCTTATGCAGTGACCACCCACTTGGCTTGCCAGGCATTGCACGCCGCCTGGCTGTCCGTCCGTCCGTCTGTCTGTCTGTCTTCCCGGCTCTCTGAGCCGCGGCGCTTTGAGCTTCTTAGCTCGGGGACGCGTCGGCCACCGCCGCCCTCTCCCTTGTCGGTGGCCCTGACGAGGTTGGGGGAGAGGGTGCCGAAACGCGCCCAGAGTCCAGCAAGGCATGAGGGTGCAAACCCGACTTGTCTGGCTGATGCTCTGGGGGGGCCTGTGCTCAGGGGAGGCTGCAGCACCGCTCAACGATGTGCTGTTTAACCGAACCTGCAGGGTGGGCCCTTTCCCAAATCCGTGCTTCGGTGCGGATCGTAAGCGCGCCTCGTCTCCGTCGTCGTCGTCGGCGTCGTCGTGGTCGTGGTGCGTGTTGCTCTGCTCGGGATTATGTTTCCCTTTTGTAGTGACCACCCACTTGGCTTGCCAGGCATTGCACGCCGCCTGGCTGTCCGTCCGTCCGTCTGTCTGTCTGTCTTCCCGGCTCTCTGAGCCGCGGCACTTTGAGCTTCTTAGCTCGGGGACGCGTCGGCCACCGCTGCCCTCTCCCTTGTCGGTGGCCCTGACGAGGTTGGGGGAGAGGGTGCCGAAACGCGCCCAAAGTCCAGCAAGGCATGAGGGTGCAAACCCGACTTGTCTGGCTGATGCTCTGGGGGGGTCTGTGCTCAGGGGAGGCTGCAGCACGGCTCAACGATGTGCTGTTTAACCGAACCTGCAGGGTGGGCCCTTTCCCAAATCCGTGTTTCGGTGCGGATCGTAAGCGCGTTTCGTCTCCGTCGTCGTCGTCGTCGGCGTCGTCGTGGTCGTGGTGCGTGCTGCTCTGCTCGGGATTATGTTTCCCTTTTGTAGTGACCACCCACTTGGCTTGCCAGGCATTGCGCGCCGCCTGGCTGTCCGTCCGTCCGTCTGTCTGTCTGTCTCCCCGGCTCTCTGAGCCGCGGCGCTTTGAGCTTCTTAGCTCGGGGACGCGTCGGCCACCGCCGCCCTCTCCCTTGTCGGTGGCCCTGACGAGGTTGGGGGAGAGGGTGCAGAAACGCGCCCAGAGTCCAGCAAGGCATGAGGGTGCAAACCCGACTTGTTTGGCTGATGTTCTGGGGAGGCCTGTGCTCAGGGGAGGCTGCAGCACCGCTCAACGATGTGCTGTTTAACCGATACTGCCGGGCGGGCCCTTTCCCAAATCCATGCTTCGGTGCGGATCGTAAGCGCGCCTCGTCTCCGTCGTCGTCGTCGTCGGCGTCGTCGTGGTCGTGGTGCGTGTTGCTCTGCTCGGGATTCTGTTTCCCTTATGCAGTGACCACCCACTTGGCTTGCCAGGCATTGCACGCCGCCTGGCTGTCCGTCCGTCCGTCTGTCTGTCTGTCTTCCCGGCTCTCTGAGCCGCGGCGCTTTGAGCTTCTTAGCTCGGGGACGCGTCGGCCACCGCTGCCTTCTCCCTTGTCGGTGGCCCTGACGAGGTTGGGGGAGAGGGTGCCGAAACGCGCCCAGAGCCCAGCAAGGCATGAGGGTGCAAACCCAACTTGTCTGGCTGATGCTCCGGGGGGGCCTGTGCTCAGGGGAGGCTGCAGCACCGCTCAACGATGTGCTGTTTAACCGAACCTGCAGGGTGGGCCCTTTCCCAAATCCGTGCTTCGGTGCGGATCGTAAGCGCGCCTCGTCTCCGTCGTCGTCGTCGTCGGCGTCGTCGTGGTCGTGGTGCGTGTTGCTCTGCTCGGGATTCTGTTTCCCTCATGCAAAGACCACCCACTTGGCTTGCCAGGCATTGCACGCCGCCTGGCTGTCCGTCCGTCCGTCTGTCTGTCTGTCTTCCCGGCTCTCTGAGCCGCGGCGCTTTGAGCTTCTTAGCTCGGGGACGCGTCGGCCACCGCCGCCCTCTCCCTTGTCGGTGGCCCTGACGAGGTTGGGGGAGAGGGTGCCGAAACGCGCCCAGAGTCCAGCAAGGCATGAGGGTGCAAACCCGACTTGTCTGGCTGATGCTCTGGGGGGCCTGTGCTCAGGGGAGGCTGCAGCACCGCTCAACGATGTGCTGTTTAACCGAACCTGCAGGGTGGGCCCTTTCCCAGATCCGTGCTTCGGTGCGGATCGTAAGCGCGCCTCGTCTCCATCGTCGTCGTCGTCGGCGTCGTCGTGGTCGTGGTGCGTGTTGCTCTGCTCGGGATTCGGATTCCCTCATGCAGTGACCACCACCACCTCCTCCTCCTCCTCCTCCGTCTCCGCAGCCTCCTCATCATCCTCCGCCTGCTCCTCCTTTTCCTCCTCCTCCTCCTCCTCCTCCTCCTCCTCCTCCTCATCATCATCATCATCATCATCATCATCATCACCACCATCACCACCACCATCATCATCATCATCATCATCATCATCATCATCATCATCATCATCATCATCATCATCATCGTCATCATCATCATCATCATCATCATCATCATCATCTCCTCCCTCCTCCTCATCATCATCATCAGCATCATCATCATCGTCGTCGTCTCATCATCAAACTCATCATCATCATCATCATCATCATCATTCATCATCATCATCATCATCATATCGCATCATCACCATAATCATCATCATCATCATCAGCATCATCATCATCACCACCACCATCATAATCATCATCATCATCATAATCAACATCATCATCAGCATCATCATCATCATCATCGTCATAATCATCATCATCATCAGCATCATCATCATCAGCAGCATCATCATCATCATCATCATCATCATCATCATCATCATCAGCAGCAGCATCAGCATCATCATCATCATCAGCAGCAGCATCATCATCATCAGCATCATCATCAGCAGCAGCATCATCGTCATCATCATCAGCATCATCATCGTCAACATCATCATCATCATCAGCATCATCATCCTCAGCATCATCATCAGCAGCATCATCATCATCAGCATCATCATCATCATCATCAGCATCAACAGCATCATCAGCAGCATCATCATCATCATCAGCAGCATCGTCAGCATCATCATCGTCATCATCCTCATCATCATCAGCATAAGCATCATCATCATCAGCATCGGCATCATCATAAGTATCAGCATCATCATCAGCAGCATCAGCATCAGCATCATCAGCGTCAGCAGCATCATCAACATCAGCATCAGCGTCATCATCAACAGCATCATCATCATCAACAACAGCATCATCATCATCAGCATCATCATCAGCATCATCACCATCATCATCAGCATAATCATCATCATCAGCATCGGCATCATCATCATAATTAACATCATCATCAGCAACATCAGCATCAGCATCAGCAGCAACAGCATCATCATCATCATCAGCACCATCACCATCATCAGTATCATCATCGTCATCATCATCACCACCATCATCAACATCATCATCATCATCAGCATCATCATCATCATCTATTCCCCCTCCTCCTCATCCTCCTCCTCCTGCCCCTTCTCCGCCTCCTCCTCCTCGTCCTCCTCCTCCGCCTCCTACTCATCATCATCCTCCGCCTCCTACTCTCCCTCGTCCCCCTCCTCCTCCGACTCCTCCTCCTCCGACTCCTCCTCCTCCAGCTCATTATCCGTGTCCTATTGGTCATATTCCTCCTCGTTTTGCAGCTCCTCCTCCTCCGCCTGCTGCTTCTCCTCCTCCTCCGTCTCCTCCTCCTGCCTCCACCGCCCCCTCTCATCCTCCGCATCATCATGGTCCTCCTCCTCCTCCTCCTCCTCATCCTCCTCCTCCTCCTCACCCTCGGCCTCGTCCTCCTCATTCTCATCCGCGTCCTCCTCTTCCTCATCCTCCTCCTCTTCCTCATCCTCCTCCTCCTCCTCCGCCTCCTCTCTCCTCCTCCTCATCATCCTCCTCCTCATCCGCCACCTCCTCATCCCACTCCCCCTCCACCGCCTCGGTTCCTCCTCCGACTCCTCCTCCTCCTCCTCCGCCTCCTCCTCCTCCTCCGCCTCAGCATCATAAGCATCAGCAGTATCAGTACCATCGTCATCACCATCAACATCAACAAAACCATCATCATGATCAGCATCATCATCACAGGAATCATCAACACCATCCGCTTCATAATCCGCCTCCTCATCAGCAGCAGCAGCATCATCAGCGGCAGCATCATCAACATCCTCCTCCTCACCCTGGGCCTCGTCCTCCTCATTCTCCTCCGCGTCATCCTCTTCCTCATCCTCCTCCTCCTCCTCCTCCGCCTCCTCTTCCTCCTCCTCCGCATCCTCCTCCTCATCCGCCACCTCCTCACCCCCCCCTCCCCCGCCTCAGTTCCTCCTCCTCCTCCTCCTCCTCCTCCGCCTCAGCATCGTAAGCATCAGCAGCCTCAGTATCATCGTCATCACCATCAACATCAACAACATCATCATCGTGATCAGCATCATCATCACCGGCATCATCAACACCATCCGCTTCATAGTCCGCCTCCTCATCAGCAGCATCATCATCATCAGCGACAGCAGCATCAACATCCGCATCATAATTACCATCATCCTCAGCAGTAGCATCAGCATCATCCTCAGAAACATCATCAGCAGCAGCATTTGCAGCATCATCATCAGCAACATCATCACCATCATCATCAGCATCATAACCATCACCACAACATCATCATCACAGCATCATCAGCATCATAACCATCATCAGCATCATAATCAGTATCGTTCTGGTCAGCAGCAACATCAACATCATCATCAGCATCAACAACATCAGCAGCAGCATCATCAGCATCCTAAGCATCAGCATCAGCAGCACCATCAACATGACCCCCAGCATCAGCAGCATCAGCATCAGCATCGGCATCAGCAGCATCAGCATCATCATCAGCAGCATGATCAGCTTCAGCAGCATCATCATCATTAGCAGCAGCCTCAGCATCGCAAGCATCAGCATCATCACCACCAGCATCAGCGTCATCAGCATCATCAGCATCATCATCATCATCACCATCATCACCATCAGCATCATCAGCATCATCATCATAATCATCATCATCATCATCATCATCATCAGCATCATCATCATCATCATCAGCGTCATCCGCATTAGCAGCATCATAAGCATCAGCAACATTGGCATCAACTTCATCAGCATCAGCATCATCAGCAACAACAGCAGGATAATATCCATCGTCATCAGCATCAGCATCGGAATGATCAACATCAGCAGTATCATCATCAGCAGCAGCAGCCTCAGAATCATCATCAGCATCACCAACATCATCATCACCGGCAGTGTCATCGGCATCATCAGCATCAGCATCAGCATCATCGTCATAATCAGTTGTATCAGCGGCATCAGTGCCATCAACATCGCCATCATCATCGTCATAAGCATCATCATCGTCGTCGTCAAAATCATCAAAATCATCGGAATCAGCATTATCATCGACACAGTCATCATCATCATCATCATCATCATCATCATCATCATCATCATCATCATCATCATCATCATTATCATCATCATCATCATCATCATCAGCATCATCAGTACCATCAGTATCAGCAGCCTCAGCAGCATCAGCCTCAGCATCGGCATCATCAGCATCATCAACATCAGCATCAGCATCATCAACAGCATCGTCATTATCAGCAACATCAAGATCACCATCGCCAACACCATCATCATCATCAGCAGCAGCAGCCGCATCCACATCAGCAGCAGCATCATAATCGGCATCAGCACGATCATCAGCACCGTCATCATCACCACCACCATCATTATCGTCATCAGCATCATCATCATAATCATCAGCAGCATCAGCATGATCAGCATTATCATTGGCATCATCATCATCTTCAGTATCAGCATCCATCAACCTCACCTCTAATCGATGTCATTATCCTCTCGCCTCGTCCTGCTCCTCCTCGTTATGCTCCGTCTCGTGCTCGTAATCTCCCTCGGTCTCCTCGTCCACTCGTCTTTATCCCGCTGATGCTCCTCAGGAGATCGTGAGGAGTGCGTGAGGAATCATCACCCCTACCCTTGTTAAGCGCGTTTGACCGCCCACCGCGGATGAGGTTGTGTTCCACTACGGTGGCAAAGCCGCTCCATCAACATTGTGGCCGACGTGGCGACAGAGTTGATGCAGCGCTGCGCGCATTGCAACCAGCTGATGGACAAGTGCGGCCAACCAACTCGTCCGACTAAATTCTGGACGGTTACCGCTCAGACAAAGAAAGTATACTATAAGCGCGCAAACTAATCCAACGGGTTGAGACCAGCCCGCGCAGTAACATTACAGGGGAAAGCCGCCGAGATGGGCACCTCCCAAATTATCTGAACTCACCCCCAAAGCGGATCGGCCCCAAACGGTTTGGGGAAAACTGTTTCGGACCAAGCGGATTTGAACAAGTTGCCCCCCCAACCTGGTCCCGACGGGCCTGTGAACGCCCACACGTCGAGGCACGTCGAGCCCTGGTGCGCCCCCAGAAAGTCTCTGGCGAGGCAAATCAGCAAAATAATCATGTGTAAACCAGTATCCCCGAACTCTTGCCACGCCGCCAGCCGTTCCCGAAATCGAGCCCAGGGGCAACCGTTTCTGCTCCGCGCGTCCTGGCAAAATGACGAGCCCCAACCCCAAGCAAGCAAACAATTACTTTGGCGCGTTGCGGCCCCTCCAAACACCTCCAACAAGGTGCGCCAGCGTTTGAGCCGTCAAGGGCGCACGCGCGCCTCCTAGAATACGGTGCGCAACCTGCCAGATGTGCCCCCCGGACAAGGGTGAGGATACATACTGCGTTGCGAAAGGAGGTGGGAGCAGAAGCAGAGGGATCCATCTCATCCTCCTGCCTACCACTCCGCCTACCATTCCTCTGCCCCTCGCCCTGCTCCTCTTGGAGGATACAGTGGGACTTGATTGGGGAGGACACGCGAGAGGACACAAGACTCTTCCGACGGCAGCGTGGCCCCAGAAGACCAACGAACATGCGGGTTGCATAGGTCGGGATAGGCTCTGAAGAAGGAAAACACTCCCCACCCACACCAAGGAAACCTTGGCCCCGAAGGGCCATCTACCCCCCCTGAGGTGGGGATGGGTGCCGTCCCCTTCGGGTTTCGGAGCACCCATCCCCACCGAGAGGGGGGACGCTGGGAGAGCCAACTTACCATACCCCAGTGGGGGTGGGGATGGATCCGACGATGAAGGTAGACAGGACACAAGCGCACCCTTCGATTTGGCATGGTCGACCTACTAGTCAAGCTCGACTGTAGTCTCCACCAGCACTGGGATCGGAAGGATCGAAAAACGAGCGCGCGCACGAGCGCACACGGTGGGCGCGGATGCAGGCGGACCCGCACGTGAGTCTGCCGCGGCGCCTAGCCGGCCCCGACCACGATCAGCACGCGGTAGTCCTGCTTGCTGCAACCGTCGACGGGCGGCATGGCGGCGCCAGGAGCGACCGGGAACTCGCTCTGGCGCGCGTTCTCGGGAGAGCACGCGCCCGCCTTCGCTTCCGCTGGAGACGGCTGGGGAGTCTGCGCGGCGAGGTGCCCCCAACCCCCGCTCGGAGTGGGTCGGAAGCGTTGGCTGCGGGCGGCCCATTGACGTGCGCGTGCGTGCGTGCCGAGATGGGCGCGAGGGCGCGCTCGCTGGAGATGCTCGAATCAAACACTGCACGCGGAAACTTTCTTCCCCAGAGAGCGGCGAGAGGAAGGTCAGAGGACGCCACGGGGAGGGAGGGGTCACGAATCACACGCGCGGAGAGCGAGCCTGGGTACAGCTGGCTCATGTCGCGAAACCTTGCGGGCTGGCTTCTGACGCATCGTGGATCGATTAAGAAAGGTCACGACTCTCCGATAGCGCAGACACATCGCCATGGGCCAATGTAACGCCCGCGCTGGGGTCACCGCCGCTTCAATGACACGCGAACCTGCCAAGATGTCGCCGCCCTCCCCCCGCTCGGGTGCGCGAAAGCGGGGGGGCCAGGAAGAGGGGAGGCCCAGTTACCGAACCTACTGTAGGAATCCTCGTCCAGGGCGCGACTGCGCGACGGACTCCCCACCCCCAGGCCGCTCTCAACCGCCATCCTACACCAACCAGGCCCAGCTGTGTGTACAAGTCTTAGGTCGGGCATGTCCCCCTGCAGGCGGAGCCTGGAAGAGAAACAAAACTTAGCCAAACAATGCTCCAGGACTGGTCAGAAAATGCCAGAACAATCATCTCCAGGCGATCGTTTGACTATCTTCGAACATTCCTCCCGCAAGAGGGCATGCCCGACTTGATTCGGGCGTTGGCAGAACTGGGTTTAGTGGAACCTGGTTTAGTGATCTGTACTGGGGGCGCGCCCCCGCCCCATTTCCACTGACCGGAACTGCCGTCACCCGAAAAACACCAGCTACGGCAACTCTGGTTTAGTGAATCTGGCCAATTGAGGGGCCCCAGGGCCCTACCACTAACTGGGTCCCCTTACCCGAGGTCCTGTCTATACCCGACAGAGCGAGAGAGAGAGAGAGGGCGCCTCACCGCGCAGAGGCCCCCCGCCGCACTGCAGGGGTGTACCGCGCCGCCCTGCACGGGCCGTGCGTCACCTCCCCCAGCGAGGCCCCCTCGAGCCGCCACGCGGCGCCGCCCTCGCCGTCCGGGGGCTCCACCGTCAGGTCCGCGATGGGCCCGCCGCCGGTCACGCGGTACCTTACAGGGCAGGTTTTAATACATAAGATTTCTAGAACCATAAGATCTTAATACATGATGAATTTACGAAGCAATATATGCATGAACCCATCGTTGTTTTAGAAACTAAACCATGCATGCTTGGTACATGATCCGCACGCGGAGCATGTATTAAAAACGGTACCTCACGCAGCAAGCATCTGTACGCCACCGCCGTGCCAGGCCAGGGCCGTCCTGGGCCCCCGGATGGCGTAGGCGCCATCTGGCCGAGGCCAGGAGGGTCTGTACACCATCCTGGGGCCCAGGAGGGCCCTGGCCTGGCACGGTGGTGGCGTACAGACGCCTCCGTCGGATACCTGCCCGCGGGCAGCGGCACGTCGGGCTGCTCCATGACCAGGCCGTGCTCTTCCAGCCACCAGTCCTGGCAGGACCAAGCTGAAGGGGCCCTGGGACACACAAATAAATACACACAAATAAAAGGGTTCCCCATATTTTCGCATATTTTCTAAGTTTTTGCCGCCCCCCCCACTTCCCATATTTTCCCATATTTTCCTAGGAGTGGACGATTAATTGTGTCTGTGTATTGTTTCCCTGCTGACAAGCGGCAGCCAGCAGCGCATCGCGAGGCTGGACCGGATCGAGCCGCGCGTCGCGTCGGGCCGCAAGTCGGCACGGAGTCGGGATCGAGGCGGGCTGGCCGCGCCAGGATGCACAACAGCGCCGTGCGAGCATCAGGACGCATCGGATCGCTGCTTACCGGAATCGAATCTGAATCGGATCGGACATGCGGACAAGCGGCCTGCTTTTAGGTCGGGCATGTTCCCCTACAGGCGGATGGTGGACGAACAATTGTCTTAACAAGTTGTTGTTTTGTTGCTTGCACAAAAAACTTTAACATAGTCAGAAATACTCAAAATAAAGCCCCAGTCTATTCTTGGACTATCTTTTAATATTCCTCCTGTAAAGAGAGAGAGAGAGAGAGAGAGAGAGAGAGAGAGATGCCCAACGTAAACCTGCTTCAAGGCACCGCAGGGGCGCTGCAGGGGGGCGCCGAGGCACCGCGGAGGGATGACACAGAAGGGATAGGGGGAGCGAAAGACCAGAGGGCGGACAGGGGACAGAAAAAGTAGGTGGACAAGCGGATGAGAATACGCATGCGAAACATTACGCAGTCGCTCGTTGTGAACTTAGAATCTTATTAGAGGAGATAACGCCATAAACACAAATTTGTGCCGCTCCACTCCCTGGCGCGCGGAGCGCGCCAGGGGCGGCGCCTGAGGCGCCGCCGGGGGTGCCCCAGCGCGGATCCAAGGAATCCGCGCGCAGCACCCACAGAGTATGTGTGTATGGCGTGTGTTCTTCTTCGACCCAGGTCGACTTCGAATCTGATCGATCGGATCGAAGCGGGCCCTGTCCTTTGGACGCCCGAAATGGGCACGGAAAGAATGGGTACAGTGCCCAACAACAAATGTTGCCCCAAACCAGCAGCGGCCGCTGTTGGGCAAAAGCGGCCTTCTTTCTCGAGTGGACACAGGCCGCGGCGGCGCGGACGGCGAGTCCTGTTCGAAATGAGCAGGAACTGCTGCTGGGCATTGCACCCATTCTGTCCGTGCCCATCTCGCGCGTGCAGACATGAGGTGCGTCCTCAGAGGCCCCGTCTGCTGCTGGTTTGGGACAACACTTGTTGTTGGGCATCGCACCCCTTCTTTCCCTGCCCACTTCGCTCGTGCAGAGCCCTGTCCTGGCCGTCGACCGTCCAGCCCGCCGGGGCCCGCCCGCCGGCGGCCAGCACCCCGGGGATCTCGCCGAGCTGGACCCCGCGGGGGCCGGGGTCCACACGCCAGAGCCCCCAGCGCTGCGCCCCGGTGCCCGACGATCGGGCGATCGTCAACCGACCACCTCACCGATCTTGGCCGCGCCGATCCTGAGACCAGCATCGGTGTGCAGGTCCGCGTCCGCGTCGTGACGACCTGGGCATGGGTTCCCTGACACCGCGTGGATCCTTCCACCTTGCACGATCGCGGCATTCCGGGCATGCCGATGGCGCCGATGCTTCGATGTTGGCCGATTCCTGGGAACTGGTTGCATTCAAACTTGAACGCCCGCGCCAGGGTCGCCGCAGAGTTGGTACGGCGCGAACCTGCCTTATCCATACGCCCGCCTGGCTTGGGCAGGGATGAGTAGACACCGATCCCAGGCACAGGGCGGCGTAGACCGAGGCGGGGATTGATCCATCCCCACGGCCTGGGGGGATCGTTCTTCGGTGACCTCGGCAGACGGTGCACACCCGCAATCTACATCTGACTCACGCTGATCTATCCTCTATGTCTTTCTCCTCCTCCTCCCCCTCCTCCCCCTCCTCTTCTCCTCATCGTCCTCTTCTTTCTTCCCCCTCCTTCTCCTTTCCCTCATGCTCCTAACTTCTCCGCGCCAGTTCTGTTCCTCCTCCTCTCTTTTCCTGTCTTTCATGTCCTACTTCTCCACCTCCCCTGCCGCATCGCGCCTCGCCATCACAACCGTAATGATCAGCATCACCGACAAGCAATGCAGCGCAGGCGGTCGTAAGAATTATGGTGGGTGCGGTACTACTGGCTGCAAAACGAAACGTGAGAAGATCTGCAATACAATCCCACCAGCCATATGGCTTAAGATTGTCTAACGATGTATCTGTCCTTCCTCTTCAAAAAACCCTCTTCCCCTCGCGGAGGTGTACCCCCCGCCCCCTTCCTGGCTCTGGACGGGTGGGGGCGAGGGTTAGAGCGCCAAAGACGACTCAAGATGGCCCCCAAAAGGCCCAAAATGGCTGAAGATAGCCGACGATGGTTCAAGATAGCTTCCGACATACTTCCGAGAGGCCCGACGAGGGCCGCAAGACGGTTCCCAGTGCTCAGGAGCCCCCTCAGGACTCCCAAACAACAAAAGAAAATAAATAACATATCACTTCTCGCCTTTTCGCGCCCGATGCGCTTTGAGGTCTCGAGATGGCCCCAAGATGGCCCAAGAGAGCCCCAAGATGGGCACAATATGCCCCCAAGACGGCGCCCGAAGATCGGCCCAAGGGACGATTCCGAGGACCCCGAGGGAAGACCAGACGTGACGACCCCCCCCCCGTGTACCTCTCAGAAGCCAACCCCCCTCCCCATACCCCCCCTTCTACACGTGGCCCACAAGCCCCGCCCGAGCGATCCGCATCGCTCTGGACGGGTGTCTCCTCCTCCTCCTCCTCGTCGTCCTTCTCCTCGTCGTCCTTCTCCTCCTCCTCGTCGTCGTCGTTCTCCTCCTTCTCGTCCTCCTCCTCCTCGTCGTCGTCCTTCTCCTCCTCGTCCTCCTCCTCCTCGTCGTCCTCGTCCTTGTCCTCGTCGTCGTCGTCGTCGTCGCCCCGTCCGACCGGGGCCCCCCGCCGCCCGGAGGGGCGGTCCGCCGACGGCCCCCCGGGGACGCGGCGCCCCCGTCCCCCAGCGCCGCGATGAACTGCGGCGCGCCGGCCGAGGCCCCGAGGGCCGCGCCCGCGCCGGCGCGGGGCGCGAGGCCGGCCGCGGGGCGCGGCAGGGCGAGGGCCGCGGCGGCGAGCAGCAGCACGGCCGGGAGAGGAGAGGAGCGGCGGCGCGCGAGCCAGGGCGCGGTGGCTTTTGAGGGGGGGCCCTGGGGCAGACTGAGAAGTAGACACACGCGTGACAGGATCCCCCACCTTTTCCCACACGGTTTGGGTGTTTGTCTTCCCCCCCCCGCTTCCCAAAGCTTCCCCTATCTCCTGGGGGATCGAGGATGGATTGTGTCTATGTGTTTGTTCTCCCTCCTGGTGGTCTTCGTCGTCGCTTCGTGTGGGTGCTCCTGCGCTCCTGCCTTCGAGCTCCGCCCCTGCTGCGCAAAACGGAGCCGGGACGAGAACGGTCCACGAGATCGCCAGAGCCCCTTTGGGCTGGACCCTGGAGAGCGGCAGGAGCGGCAGGCATTCGGCGGCGAGCGAAGGGGGGGGAGCGAGAAGGGGGGGGCCTTCGCGAAGGCGGCGGGGCTTCTCAGAAGCCCTCTGGCCTTCTGAGGGTCCTCTGTGCCTTCGGGGAAAGCTGAGAAGACTTCTCAGAAGGCCAGGGGGACTGAGGACTTCCGAGCCGTCTGCGAAGGCCCGCTCCTCCTCCATTCCCCCCAACGCTCGCCACGGATAATGAGGAAATCCCATTTGCGTCGGATACAAAGTACGTCGGGTCCACGTCGGTTTACGTCGGGCTCATGTCGGATCGCGTAGGATCTGCGTCGGATCTGCATCGGATGTGCGTCGGGCCTCACGTCGGAGCATCGCCGCGCGGACCTCGTCCCTCAGCTGACGAGGCGAACATGCGGACTGGGTACTGAAACTACTGCGCGCCGCTCGAGGCGTCCAGGGTTTTCCTCCTAGCACCAACCTGTCGGAGGCCCGCGCGGTGTCTTCGACCGGACCCGGGCCACCCCTCCCTGGCGCGCGGAGCGCGCCGGGGGCGGTGCCGGGCGCCGATCCGGAGAGTCCGCGCGGGCCTTCAAAAGATTGCGATCGTGCTCACCATCAATCGGGAGTCCTGCCCCCCTGCTTGTGTCAGTCTTTCGCCTGGATATTCACAATCCCTGCAAGATGTTCCGATAATATCTCATGGCCAGTGGGCTCCGCCTTCTCGAGAAGCAGTCAGTACATCGGACAGCACACGCAAGGCAAAGGCGCAGGAAGGGCAAGAGGATGGTGGTGCGGAAGGGGTGCATTGACTGCTTCGGCTCCGTGCTCTGTTTTTCGTGTCGCAAGAGGGCCCCAAATGTTCCTCGACGGCCCAGGCTTCTGGCGCTGGCCTCGCCGGGAGTAAGCCCACACGTCCGGGCGATGCCAAGCGTTCGGGGACGCACCGACCCAGGCCCGTGCATACCTAGGTCAGGCGGGCTGCGCAGCATCCCGCAGGATCCCGCAGGATCCTGCGCGCCAGCTCAGGCCAATGCAGCCCTGGCTCTGAAGGATTCTGCAGGATCCGACGCTCTGGCTGGCCCCTGCTTAGGAATGCCGAAAGGTACCACTGCCGCCGCTCCCCAGACCTCTCTCCCAGGGTGCTCTCTGACCAGAACTTCGACGCGAATCGAGCGGTGGAGACGTGGGCCTCCCAGGAGACCCAGAGAGGGGAAAACGAGGCACGTGCAGCGGTATCGGCACCCTTTCCTCCTCTGACATTGCTTGCATGGAACCCCCGCCTCGAAGCTCCCGTCGGACGGGGCTGGGACGAAAATATAAATCCGCTCCAGAACGTTCTAGAAGTCTCACGGAGCGTTCCGGCATGCTCTGAGAAGGCCGCGGCGCCCGAGACGTCCTCCAGGGCCGCCAGATCTCAGAGACCCTCGACTCATCCTCACCCGATTTTGTCCCCGCCCTGGCTTCGTCTCATCTCGAAGCGTGCCGCTGTTCTCCTCTCCGCATGGCGGCCGACGCAGCCGCCGCGGCGCGGCGGAGGCGCTGCTGGGCCGCGTCGGGCCGCGCCGCCCCCGCCAGGAGGGGCAGCGCGTCCTCGCCGCCGCGGAGGCTGCTGGGCGGCCCCTCGGCCGGCATGCCGGGCCCGCGCGGGGGGGATCTGAGCCATTACGACGAGGCCAGGACGTCGACGACGACGACGACCAAGACAGAGGCGACGACGACCAAGACGGCGGCGGCGACGACGACGGCAACCACGACGACGGAAACGACGACGTGCACCCTCCACCACGCCACGCCCACAGGGCCACGATCAAAGGGGGGGTCCCGATCCCACTCGCGAGGCTCACGGGGGCGCGCCCGTCCAACGGGGGGGGAGCCCATCATTAGCATTGGGGCTGCGCGGAGGGGCGGAGCCTGGTGAGACGAAGCCAGGACGAGGACAAAGTCGGGGGAGAATGCGTCGGGAATCGCTGAGATCCGACGGCTCTGGAGGACGTCTCGGGCGCCGCGGCCTTCTCAGAGCGTTCCGGAACGCTTTGAGGGCGTTCCGGAACGCCTTGGAAGGGACTCCTCCGTCCCAGCCCCGCCCGATCCATGCCCGTGGATGCGGGAACCCAGGCCGCTTGTCGTGAAAATCACGTCGGGAGGTGTTTGACAATTTTCGGCCGCTGGGGACCCTCACTGGGCCCCAGGACCGCCGAGCGAGTCGACTCGGGAGGAAAAAAAGAACTGGTCCCAGTGAGACAGTTCGTGCAGACCTCCAGGTGCGCACACTATGAGAAGATGAGGGAGAGAGCCTCGTGTGTGCGCGTTGCTGGTGCAGATCAAGTGCTCGCTGGCTGGGGGGGGCAATTAACATGGGGTGAAGAGACGTGTGCTCCTCGTGCACCTCTTGGGCCGCGGTGGCAGCCTAGGATTCGCTTAGGGACCCTGGCCGCAATCGTGCAATCCTCGATCCCCCTGCGGGTAGTGCCCCCCCGTTGCCGTCCGCCCGAACGCAATGCCAACCTCCCCCGCCTCTGGAGCCACCCCCCCTCGAAAATCGAGGACAGAGGATTGTGGAGTGTGCGGTCTGTTGGACCCTCTCTGTTCTTTCTGTATGTCTCTGTTTTCGGTTCGTGTGTGTGTGGGGGGGTAGGGTGTGTGTGTGTGTTGTGTGTGTGTTGTATGTGTGTGTGTTGTGTTGTGTTGTATCGAGATGTTTGTGTGTGTTGTGTGTGTTGTGTTGTGATGAGTTGTACTGTATTGTGTTGTGTTGTGTTGAGAGTTGTGTGCATGTCTGTGTGATGCGTTGTGTTGTGTTGTGTTGTGGTGTGGTGTGCTGTGTCGTAGTGTGCTGTGCTGTGCTGTGCTGTGTCGTGCTGTGCTGTGTTGTGTTGTGTTGTGCTGTGCTGTGCTGTGTTGTGTTGTGTTGTGTTGTCTGTGCGTGCGTGCGTCCGCATTCGTGTCGGTAGTGTTCACGTTTGCGTGGGCGGGATTATGTCCTCTTGCTCCCCTCCAGAAGAGAATACTGAATACGGACGTCCGCCACGTTTTGTTGTTTTTTTTGCTGGGGGGAAGAGGGGGAAGGAGAAAAACGCACGCACACACACACACACACACACACACAC